TCTCTCATGCTTCTGTTTGCAGGAGAAACAGAGATACAGACTCCTGTTTATTCCAACCATGGTCTGCAAAGAAGAAGGACTCTTGACTGATAGCTTATCTCACCCTCTCTGCACTCTCCCAACATATAACAAGGCTCACCTTCCAGTTCTAGTACTTGTGCTGATTTCTATAATTGTGTGCCCCCTACCTCTGCATTTCTGTGCTTGTGTCAGGAAAGTGTAGGGACAGAGTGATAAGGGCTGTCAATCAAGATTCTGTCTCCTTAGCAGATCGTGGCTGGGGATAAAGAGGAGTGAACTCTGAAACTCTACATCTAGGTTTGAGAGTTAAGTGGCTGAGCAGGGAAAAATAATACAAGGTTAGACTTGTTTAATACATAATTTAGGGCCGATTTACATCTACAGGTGAAACTCGAATAATTAGAATATCGTGCAAAAGTAATGGCAGTAATTGCTGCAAAAGGGGCCCAAACCAAGTACTGAGTACATATGCATGCTTGTACTTTTCAGAGGTCCGATATTGTTCTATGTACAATACTTGTTTTATTGATTGCATGGAATATTCTCATTTTCTGAGATTGTGGATTTGGGGTTCTTGGGGTTTTCATGAGCTGTAAGCCATAATCATCACAATTATGACAAATCACGGCTTGAACTATCTTGCTTTGCATGTAATGAGTCTATCTCATATATTAGTTTCACAGTTTAAGTTGCATTAGTGAAATAAATGAACTTTGCACGATATTCTAATTATTCGAGTTTCACCTGTATGTGTTGCAGGAATGCACATGTTAACGAACAAGATCCCACAACGCATTTTACTTTCCTTGACGCATTGCAGTGCCATAATTTGTCAATAGCGCCCCAGCCGACTAAAGTAATGCACATGTACTTGCGGCAAAGCATGCCAATGCACCAGAGTGCGTTGTGGCAAAAATTTAGTGACGTACAATATTTAGTGTCAGAAGCCCATTTATTTCAATGGACTGCCATAAATTGTACACGTGCTAACATGGCATAACACACGCTAAGACATGTGCAACACACAAATGTAACTGGGCCCTAAACTTATTTTTTTCTAAAAATTCAAGCAGTGTGAATACCTGAATTTGATCCACCTCTACAGCAAAGCTCAGAGATGGGTCAGGAGAAGCACTAGATTACCAATTCTTTTAGGGGTTTTAATAGAACACATATGCAACAGGAATTTCTAATGACCTCCAACAATATCGGTTTGGAAGCGCTACCAAACTCCATTACCAAAAATGTAGCTTATTTGTGTATTATTCGGCTGTGGATCCTCAAATTATCTCTAAAATCATGCTGACACTGTCCTTCCTTCTGGAGGGTGGCTACTATGGTTCCCCAACTGCTTCAAGATCGCTCTCATGATAGGACTATAATTTTAATACAAATTTGTGAACTAAGCATGAGTTTATAGTCCATCATAGCTTGGAGCTGTGACTACTTCTCCCATTTAGTTTACCAATTTCTATTGAGATTGTAGTCCATTAAGAAGCGAGCTTGGAGCGGTGGCTACTTTACATACACAGGGACCATGAGGAACAAAAGTAGCCAGAAGTGAGGACAGTGTCAGCACCAATGCATAGGTGATTTGAGGATCTACAGATGAGTGATGCACAAATAAGATACATTTTGTTAATAGTTAGGGAACTTGAATGAATTTTTAAGATTTAAACCCTGAGTTTAGTGTCCCTTTAATGTCGTACCAATCTTGGGTGTGCATTATGCAGAGTTAGCACAGGCTGACAGTGGAGGATTGAAAAAACCTGTTGACTTCCTCTGTTTAGACTGCTTACACCACCATGTTTTTGACCGTGTTTCAAGTTACACCCATAATCAGAATGCAACATGAACAATGGTTTCATTCCACAACCCCACTCACCAGTTACCTGATTCACAGGGTGCATTCCCCTGCAGACATCATCCAGGCCAGGAATGTAAACCATAAATTACTATAAATCCCAGTGGTACTATGCAAAGCACCAACAATCCCTTTTCCTGCAGAATTAGTACCTAAATCTTGTTTTAACATCAGCCTCCTCCAATAAAAGGCTCTTCTTTATAGTACAGGGCCATTAAAACCTACGGGTATCCAGACTGGGCTTTTGTCAAAACAGAAAGAAGAGGAAAGAATGCCAAGAGTACCAGTGAGGGTGAAAATCAAGACAAACGGAAGAAATTGGTCATCCCATATGTAGCTGGGGTGTCTGAGAAACTCAGAAGGGTTTTTAAAAAACATCACATCCCTGTCTGCTTTAAACCCAGCAATATACTGAGGCAACAACTGGTTCACCCAAAAGACCCAACGCCAAAACACAAGATGAACAACATTGTGTATGCAGTCCAGTATAGTGAGGAGTGCTCAGAATTGTATGTCGGTGAAACAAAACAGCAGCTACACCAGCGTATGGCACAGCATAGAAGAGGCAACCCCTCTGGTCAGGATTCGGCAGTATACCTACATCTAAAGGAAAGAGGTCACTCCTTTAAAGACAGTCAAGTACGCATCCTAGACCGGGAGGAGGACTGGTTTAAAAGAGGTGTGAAAAATGGCCATTTATGTAAAAATGGAGAAGCCAAGCTTGAATAGAGGTGTGGGGGTCACCAATTAATTTGAGGCAAGTCATACAGAGATCTGCCGTCGGATTGGCCCGTTTTTATTTTTAAACCCCTCTCTTTGACAAGGCAAGCTGTGATTCTGAGGAAGGGGCTATACCCCTGAAACATGTAAAGCCAGCCTAAAAGGCACGATGGTATGGCGATGTGACCAGAGGCAGCTTTTAATACGCAGTCGGAGCGGAACATTCCTTAGACACTGATTGTGGTTTCTTATTGACAAGCGTGACTGAAATTTTATAAGTGTGAGTATTTATAACCGTTTTTTTTATTATTCAAATAAAAAAAGATTTCACACAAGGAGGTGGCGCTTTGTTGCTTTTGTCTTCTAGCTTTTAAAACGTCGCCTATAGACAATTTTGGGTACCGCCATTTTACAGGCATACATCTACTGCTAGCAAGCAGTAGATATATGCAAAAACATATTTTAAAAAAACAACTTTTAAAAAACATATTTTAAAAAAACAACTTTTAAAAATAGTTTAAACTTACCTGTGTCTTCACCACACGCTCCAGTCCGAACATCTGAAGAGTCTCGGGCGGCCGCAAAGGATCTTGGGGCGGGCGCATGCGCACTTCAGATGTTCAGCCGGGAGACGAGGAGAGACGCAAGGTAAGTGTATGGAGAAGCGTGTACCCGCACAGACTCCGTGGGACATCAGAGGAGAGGAGGACAGAGGAGTGCTGGAGGGTCAGCTGAAAAGGACAGTAAAGAAGAAGATGATCGAATCAAGAGGCATCATTTAATGTAAGTCCCTACAGCAGGATTGGGAAGGAGAAAACAAATTTCTGACTTTAAGGTCACTTTAAACTCAATGTAAAACTAAATTTTAAAAAATGCACCAGAAGTATCAAAAACACGTATGCAGAAATACATCCGGAACGTGCAGGTTATTGCGTGAATAAGCCCTTAATCTAGCTCCGCTTGCGTCATGGAATTGCTGCTTCCATGAAGTCATTATTCACACATTATTCTCTGCTTTGTAACACATGTGCAGAAAGCTAAGAGAACCTACAGTTATGTCTAGACAGTAATTACACATAGACACAAAGGAAACATAAAAAAAATAAAAATAAAAAAAAGAACAAGAAAAATTATTATTAGTCAAGAGCCCATACAAAAAAATGATCTAAAAGGTAATTTCTCAGGAAATCATAAACTATGGAGATCTGCATCTGGCTCTCTACATACAAGATCAGCTGTCTTTTTTCAAAGTAAGCCCACAATAGAAATGGAATCAAGAAGACTAAAAAATGAAAAATGTTTTGGATGTTAAAAAATTCACAGTTTACTTAATATAAGAATAGCTTTGTGTATACAAGTGTATGTGTATATACATATACACACACACACACACACACACACACACACACACACACACACACATATACATACATACACACACACGTATACATACATACACACATATACATACTGTTTTTATTATAGATAGAGAGAAAGAGGGGAGAGAAAAGTTAACACCTATACAAAAACCGTTGCTTTTGGGTACTCTTCACAGCTTCAGTCCAAATTAAAAGGTGCTCCATTTTCTCTCCCCGTCAGGTTTAATCTCCTTCAATATTTTCTCCTTTCTACATGCAAAAAAGGCCAACGCATATTTTCCATCCACTTGATTAAGGCGAACGTCTCTGCTTGTTGATCTGTCCCTAAAATAGTCTGCAACACAGTTTGAAATTACAAACCCAGAACATGCATTTCTGTACTTATGTAAAAAAGTAAGACACAAATAAGAAGACTATGTGCAATGATGGAACTATATAAAATAGGTTGTTTAAATGTTAATATGCAAGGCCTTCATCAATATTCACACCATCCTGAATAGAGAAATTAAAATGCTGGTAAAACTTAAAACGCGACATATGTTTCCTGAAACATTTAATACACAGACGTTTTCATGATGTAACGTTTCCAAAGCATACTTGAGTTTCTAACAAGAAACCCCAGCACTAGCACTACAACTAATGCAGTTGTGTGTAATCTGATATTTTGCTAAATCAGATCACATAACAAAATATTCACTGTGTAGTGGTAAAAAGCTTGAAACGTAGGTGGCTCTGGTGCCTCACACTTTCTGCCAGGTGTAGCATATAAAATATGTATATGCCATGTTTGATTTTTACCCAAATTAGGAAAAATCTAAACTTGAATTTTTTATTCAACAGAATGAATAAATATTTTTTTTATTCAACAGAATGAATAAATCATTTTCTGTTTGTCCAAAACACTATTCAAAAATCTAAAAAATTTAAGCCTTAATGTATAGAGGCCACGAACACTTTCACCAAGATCCCTTATGCAAAACATACAGAAAAATAAAAAAGTACATAAAGACACATACCATCCATACCATTATGTTGTTCATAGCTCCGCTTGCCCAAGATTGTTGGAGACCCATTGTTGATAACTGGTGAAGATTTGGCCGGGGTTAGGGTATTATTGATGCTTGTTGAGATGTTTTTTATTATGTCTAACTTAGGAGCGCTGGGGTGAGCCTCTGCGGAATTAAAAGTCTGTGTTAATAACGTCTGTATGAATTGGGAAGAAAACAAAAATGACAAAACTGTCTATATGTACCTATATATCGTAGAACTTGTTCTAAAGGTTTTCTGACGATCTGTTTCAGCATCAGTGGAGTTTTTGAAGCTTCTGGGAGTCTTGTTGTACCTGCATGCGTAAACAATAGGAAAAATCTAATTTAAAATACAATTATAGAGGCTGGGTGATCAATGCAGCAATATTTGCTGCACCGGGCGAGGAGGGGAGGAACACTGTCATATTACACTTTAAAGATAGAGATTTGTTGATTAGTCAATACAAGGAAGCTTTGAGAAGGTTAGTGTTTTCACTCTGCTTCCTCCACAAAGTATAGCTGAACCTGAAAACAAAAATTGTATATATTGCAGCTTACAAGTTCTTCAATGTGGTGGCTGGAATTGTTCCCTTTTCTCAGGCTTTATTCCCCTATATTTTTGTCAAGTGATCCTGCCAGTAACACACTTCCTATACTCGGTTGACAGGTCACTTGCTGTACTGTAGCTATTGAGTAGCATCATCACCCTAGGCTGCTCTCCTGATTAGACTACAAACAATACAGATACAGACAATATCAAGTTTAGGAAGTCATGGATCAAGGAATGCCTCCCAAAAAGGTTTGCGGGTAGAGACTCCTCCCATTGCTTGTTCCTCCGTAGGCTCTTGTCCACCCACCCCCACCCCCAAAGTCTAATTTCTCTGGGTCCCCCCATCCCTTTCACACCCTGTCCCTCCTCCATCTCTTTCAGTTCCTGTACCTCCTAGTTCTTCCCTTTCTCCCTCCCTTTCCCTACTATTCCCTAATGGTGTTGATATTTACCCCCACCTCTACTTCTCAATAAAGTTACCATGAACAATGTTCCCCAAACTCACCAATGTAAGCATTAACCTCTTGCCGTCCGCCCGTAGTAAAAAAACGGACGGACGGCACTGCTTCATCTGCGGGTTGCCGTGTCCAGACGGCAATTTTTTTCTGCTCGCGCGCGCCCCCTAGCGGGCACGCACGGGCAGAAAAGACCCGATCAATGCACACACCCGTTACCGGGTGTTTCACATATAGGCGATCAGCGGGTCCATAGCCCGCCGATCG